CGGAGATCGATGCCACCCACCGCTGCATCCGTGATCGTTTTCTGCCCGTAGTCGTAGACCTCCTTGGGCCAGTGCAGAGGGACACTGCTTTTCTTAATCATCACGCTTGTTCTCCACCGCAAAACTCTTCCCCCTTGTGCCTCAGACCGCAAAATGCGGAATGAGGCTAGGGATGGTTTTGGATTGGAAGAGTAAAGAATATCCAAATTTACTCAAAACGTTTTAAACTGTTTTGAAGTGTCCAAAAGTGTCCAAAAGTGTGCAAAAAGCCAGTGCCAGCGATCTTCGATAGATCCCCCAACGGTGGGGGGCTGACCAAGGCCTCAAAACGCAAACCGCCCTCCATCAGCGTGTCAAGGAGTCTATGACTCCAGATCAATCTCCAAACGGAGGCCTACAGCCTGTCCCGGCTGCATCGCCACCATCTGCGGCTCGGTCGACACGCTCAGGGACAAGTCAATTTCGTTCGCCGCCTGATTCTGCTTTGAGACGATCACCACGTTACAGCCCTTACCGGGATGGTATCTCGTACTGCAGTCCGTCTAGCCAACGTTTAGACTCACCTCCAGTGATTCGAGCGGTGACCTTCTCTCCGCAGCCTCGAGCAACGACTCCGTCGCGGCCTCCACGCTCTCCTGCTCCTCTTCGCCCATCTCGAGTTTCACCAGTGAGAACGGGGCGCCCACGTGATGACATCTGGCAGCACTACTACATCGAACGGGAGAATGGAAAGAAGCATGGCCGTTGTAAGTACTGCGGTACGCTCAAGAAGAATGGAAAACCCGGTGGCAACTTGCTAAAGCATTTGGTAAACGCCAAGCAGTGCCCGAGCGTGCCCAGAGACGTGCAGATCGCGTTGCGACCAAAGCCCGTTGCCACGGACTTTCCTGCTACCTCAGACGCTCCACAGCCACCTCCCCCCAGCGACCTCACTCAAGATGCCTTTGAAATGGCATTGGCGAGGTTATTTTTCGTTTGTGCCTTGCCATTTGTGCTTGTTGAAGCACGGATTTTTCGGGAGTTTATGGCTCTCTTGGCTCCGATGATGAAAGTGCCATCAAGACACAAACTAAGTGGCGGTCTACTAGATCGTGTGCGCAAGGAAGTTCACCTAAACGTGTTGGAATTGATTAATAAGCAAGATTATGTCTCGTTGGTGACGGATGGCTGGAGTGACATTACTGGTGCAAGTATCATCAACTTCATGGTAGTCGCACCGGGTATGCCTTCGTTGTTCTGGTCTTCGTGGCCAACGCAATCTGAACAACATACCGCAGTCTATCTTGCCGGAGAAACCGAAAAAGTACTCGCAGAGATTGAAAGTACAACGTCCGCGCGCGTGATTTCAGTGGTAACAGACAACGCCAAAAACGTAAGAAGTGCATCGAGTCATATTCAAAACCGCAGACCTAACGTGGCGACTGGCGGCTGCTCTGCTCACGTGCTTAATCTTCTCATTCAAGACGTGTGCCGTTTTCCTATAGTTACTGCTATTCAAAAGCGAGCTGTGGATATTACGCGTTTTGTCCGAGACCACTTGGCCCTACTTGACGAATTCAAGCGACATCAACGAGAAATTCGCAACAATGGGTTGAACGTGCGGAATTTGGTGCTACCAGTACCGACACGGTGGTACTCGGTATTTGCATGTCTTCGCAGCGTGCTCAACAGCCAAGACATTCTTGAAAAGTTGTTTCTAAGTCCTGAATACGAGCAATTCCGCGATCGTTACCGAGGAACATCTCCAAGTCGAAAAAAACTGGCTTACATAGTAAGCCTGGTTCGTGATATTGAATTCTGGAGTGGGCTAAGGACTGTCGTTCGACTTGTGGACCCATTGATAACTGCACTCAAACACCTCGAGTCGGACTCTGTGTTTGTATCTGGGGTTTATAGATGGTTTCGATGGTTAAGGTACCACTCCGTTTACGGAGTTACTTCACCTGAAGACGAAGAAGAGAAAGAAGAAGGCACAGCGACTTTGGCGAATTCAACAGAAGCTTCGCTTCAAGTTGGCCACGAAACCCAAGACGGTATTGAGCTTCTCAGCGACGCTGCATGTTCTTCGGTAACCTCCAATCTCGACGCAGTACACGGTGAACACGGACGAGAGGACCGAGAGTACACGAATATTGGTGTTCTGCCTCTTGACGATCTACAAACATACTTTCGGAGCAAGATAAAGAAACGCTGGAGCTACGTTCACACAAATGCAATGGGAATTGCGTTCATGCTGGATCCATCAATGGATCTCGACGACTTTGTGGGCAATGATGACGAAGAAGTGGAGGACCAAGCTTGCAAACTTGCCCAACGTTGCGATATTCTAACTCCGAATGCTGGTGTTCCGAAGCTGACTGCTGAAATTCTTGCCTTTAAAAGCATGAAGCGGCGTGGAGGCAGTGCGATGCGTGAACGGTATTCGGAATCAAGCCCTCGGGACTATTGGGAGTCTAGGAGTGCTAAAGAGTTTCCTCTGCTGAAGCAGATTGCGAGGATTGTATTCGCTGTACCCACATCATCCGCAGCAAGTGAACGTGCATGGAGCATTTTTGAACACATTCACTCGAAGAGAAGGAACAGACTCTCCGTTGAGAAGGTCGAGAAGCTCGCATACATCTACATAAACTATGGTTCAATTCGGAGCGGCGATGTGGATCTTGCCCGGCATCAATCGTGTCCTGAGAGTATTGAATAAACGTTTGATTGTGCGGTGTTGCCAAGTCTTTTCATATCCATCGTATATATCGAGCTCTGAAGGGCAATGTACAGGGAGCGTAAGTATGTCACCGGCGACATTCACGTTCTCCATGATTTACTTGGGCTGTGCTCGCTCCGACGTCTTGCCCTTGACCAGCGCACGAACGTCTCCAATGAGTACAAGTGGAACGCCGAGCAGTACTCCCAGTCGGAGGTCGAGTCGAGCGACAACTCGCACTGTTGTTGCTTCAGAAAGCGCTGCTGCTGCAGCAGCAATTGCGGTTGTTGGGGAGGGTGTTGAAGTAGGCTGCGACGGAGCAGAGGTAGGTGGTGAAGGGCACTGATCTGTACAAACATGATGACAAGTTAGTTTCAGTAGCAAGTCCAT